GTCGCGCGCGTCAATGTAAACAAAATCGATTTCATTTAATTATAATTGACTTTATAAATATAAAAATTATTCTAATATAATATTAATTAAATTGTTTTTAAATTATACTTATAAGTCCTGAATATTAATATTTTTAAATATTGTAAATTAATTAATTATGTATTTATTTATTTATTCTCGAAAAATCCTGGATAATAATTCAAGATTTTAAGAAAAATTACAATTATTATTAATTTATTAAAATATATTAATTAAAATCTTACAATTTTAATCAAATTTCCAGCCATTTTTAAGCGATTCTTTCGAATTTTCGACAGTTTGAAACGTGTTTAACTTTCTAATTAATGCTGTTAAATATCTTAATAAATTTTTAATTATTCTAATAATTTAAAATGTTAAAATTTTATATTATAAATCGCTCGAATATGCAAATTACTTGGTATTTTCTTGTTGTTTAGATGCTTCCAAGATGAACTTTAACCCCAAATCTTACGAGAAATGACAGCATCTATACAAAGCGAGTTTTGCTAATTACATCATTAAAAAAAACCCGAAAAATCCTAAAAATTGCCTTAAGTAACCTTAAATAGTCTTGATTAAAATTAACATATAAAATATTCCAAAATTATAATCCAAATGTGTCAGGAATTTAGGTGAAGTTGCATGTCGCGCGCGATGCTCGCGTAGCGGCGCATTCCGGCTCCATAAAATTAATCACTAATATTCCTTATTTCCATTAAAGTTTAATTAACTTAAACATTAAAAAATATTTAATATAAACGTGAGAAAGTTTATATAATTAATAACTCTACTCAGGGATGTGTAGGTTTTAGAGTAACACGACAATAGTACGCGTTACTACAATCGCGTCGCTTGTCTCCTCGCTAGCGACGCGATTTTAAACGAAAATAACCTGTAAATACGAATAAAATATTATAAAAAAAACATTTATATTTAATAATAACACTTTTTTAAAGCAATTAAAGCGTAAAATCTCCTAAAAAAATAGCTCAAAAGTACAGAAAAGTATCTCGCGTATCGCTTAAAATTCTGAGTTTAAAGGTGAATTTGAAGTGTTTACGTTAATGATAATTAAACACTTAAACCTGTAAATGACGGACACTGAGTAGAACTTTAAATATACACGGCCGTTGTTCAGAGGTGGCTGTTTAGAAGGGCAACAATTCTATTTAAAAATAAAGTTCTTTAAAAAAAAAAATATATGGCCGCTGTTTACAGGTGTCCACCGTTCAGAGGTGTCCGTTATTAAAAGTTGATGATTAATTAACACTCTCAAGATACTAAATAACATCAAAAATAAGATTTATCATGGAAGTAAGACGAGCTGCAAAATCATTAATTGAGTATTTAATTTAATTTAAGTATTAAATTTAATTACTTAATCAATTATTATTTTCTATAATTTGTATAATTTAAGTAACGTTTTAGAGGGGAGGGAAATATATGGTTAATTGGTTAATTAGAGAAGAAAGATATGGCATTAATTGCAAGGAAATATCACGATAAGCCAGTGGCCATCTTACCCTCAACGTAAGTAAATATGGCCATTTAAGAAATGCCAGGATTTCTACCCCATTATAGTGTGGATGAGATGACCATGGTACCTCAAACAATAAGAATTGTACACATTACATATACATACTTCATGTAAATACATAAAAGTGAACTCTGAAAGGAACAGTCAAAAAGAATTCACTATACGAAACACCAAGAGTCTAATAGAGTAATACTGTTTTGTTCTCGTATACTACGCCTGTATTTTATATAATATATATTATATATTATACTGTAATTTACATGTAAACAGTAGATAAACATTAATTTACATACGTTTGAATCTCTTTTAATTATCAAGGATTTTAGGTGTTGTTAAAGATCTGATACCCCGCTGTTTAGTTATATGTACTCGAATCCATTTATTTCGCCTATTTCTAAAATAGGTTTTCTTTCCCTCTTCTTAAGAGCAGTAGTGTACTAAGAGGTGTGGAACTTTTTTTACTGTCTTATTAAATCAGTACCTGACTTGTAAAAAGCAAAGTTACACCTTAACCTCCACGTCCTTGGATATATGGTAGTTGGAACCTCCCGTTTCACACGTTACTTTCTCCGGTTTTTTTCTTAAATTCCCTCCCTTTTATAGAGAATTTCATTTACTTTCTCTCCAAAAATAACACTTTCGAATAGACTTTATGACTTGTACAGATTTTTGATGGTAAAGTTTTTACTTGCGCGGGCGCGTCGCTTCGCGTTTACAGGCGACGCGACGCGCCCGCTCGTTCTATATACTCTACCTTAACGTCTTTTTGCTCCTTGTAACTGTGTGTTTTCTCAACTTCTACCTAATTTACTTTCACGAGTTTTCGCTCCTTATATCTACCTATATCTAAAAGTATAAAGTTCTGTAAGCGGAGCGCGAAGCGACGCGTTCGCTCGTCTACGATAACTGGGTCATATCAAACTTTCTATAAAGTGAATTTAATCGATTAATAAGATTTTAATAGCTAATTTTTCAATTCATAAGTGTTTTAGTTCGATTTTTAAATACACTAAAACATATTTATTACAAAAATTATTCCATTTAAACTAAAATATTTCGCGTACGCTCGAATGCGACGGGCGCCTGATCAGTTAATCAATATAATTTCAAAAGCAACCTTATCAATTACTATAATTCTGAATAATTACACTAAAAACAAATACAGAAAAAAATTATTTAAACAACAAAGAAAAACTAAATGGGAAAGTAATAAATGAAACAATTAAACAATTAAATCTCGACGCGATGCGATGCGACGACACGCGAGGTCACGCGAAACACTTAAAACGTCCCTTCATCCTCGTTAATTAAATAAAAGTATCGGCAAAGTATCGATTTTATTATATAAAAAACTTAATATATTTTAAAAAATTCCATAAATAATCGATAAATTTTTAAAACTTTACGAGTAATATCTCATTTATGGGCGAGATCAAATTTCCTCTCATCTAGTCCTTTGTGTCAACATAACTTCGACCCCCCTCCGAAAGAGGAAAAGCTCGTATTGTCAGCGTGTAACAGTTACTCCGGGAGGGGGGACAGGGGTAGAGAAACAAGTCACCCCGTTCACCCTCTGGCATTATACTGTATTTAAACAACCGGTAGCAGATAAAGAGACACACCGTAAATTAATCTTTATGTACAGAAGTGCAGATACCCCCGAGCAATAGTTGGCACCGCTTTCTGCTCCTCTGTTACAAGGAAATTACAGTTGTATCCCGTAAGAGATATTTTAATATTGTTTTCTAACTAGAAATTGAATAAGATCGACATTATTCTCTTTTTCTCATCCTCTCTCTCTCTTTCTCCCTTCCCCCTTTTCCTCTCTTCTCTTCTCTTGATTAAAATCTTGACAATGAGAAAAGTTCACTCTGTAAATTACAAAATGGGATTTCGTCAAAAGGGGTGAAGGTCTCTGGTGAGGTGAAGGGGGATTAAACGCGACTCGCGATTAATGAATGAAAGATTTCGATAGGTAAAACGTCTCTTAAGCCAAGGTGTGAGGCGTGTTGAAGTGAAGAATTACGTGTTTGGAGGATGGAGAAGATGAAGAAGTACATTTTGGGAGGATAGAGAGGTGAAGAACTACATTTTGGGAGGATAGAGAGGAGGAGAACTACATTTGGGGAGGATAGAAGGTGAAGAACTACATTTTGGGAGGATAAAGAGGAGGAGAACTACATTTGGGGAGGATGGAGAAGATGAAGAACTACATTTTGGGAGGATAGAGAGGAGGAGAACTACATTTGAGGAGGATAGAAGGTGAAGAACTACATTTTGGGAGGATAGAGAGGAGGAGAACTACATTTGGGGAGGATGGAGAAGATGAAGAACAACGTGTTTGGTAGGATGGATAGGAGGGAAAACTACATTTGGTGAAGATGGAAAAGATGAAGAAATACTTTTGGGGGGATGGAGAGGAGGAAGCACTATATTATGAGAGAATGAAGGGGAAAAACTATATTTTAGGAAAATGGAGAAATTACAACATGTTTAAGAGAATGGAGTGAAGAGAAAACTGCATTTTGGGAGGATGGAGATGAGAGAGAACGTGGAAAAATTAAAGTATGTCTTTTAAATTGTTATGAAATAAGAATTTCTTGAGAGTAGGATCTATCAAGTGTTACATTTATATGAAGACAGCTAAAGAATTTAATCTTATATATAAAAAGAAAATGGATACTTGTACCTTTTCGCGTATTTTTAAGTAAATAAAATTAAAATTTTAAAATTTTTCGCGTGGAAATTTAATGAAATTTCTCGAAAATTAATCCGAAAAAAACGTAAACATTTCCGAAAAACTAGTAAAGAAGCGGAAGAAAATTTTAGTTTATATCACTGAAATATTCAGGTTTATTATTTAATGTTCTGATTTTTATTCAGTAAAAATTCCTGAAATATTTACACTCTTCTTCATAAAAAAAAAGAAAAAATTTAGGAAGACAATCAACAGAAAATCATCAAATGCAACGTAACAAATGATCATAATTAGCGTGAATGTAACCATAGAAAAATAAGAAAAAAATTTATAAAAAAAAAATACTTCCCTCTGCTTAAGATTTTTATAAATAAACAAATTAAGAGAATAAAATCAAAGTTTTCAAGGCGTTAATGATGCTTTCATCACCGTACAGGAGCGAATTCTTTTCTTTTTTTTTTATCCTCGCTTTAATATAAAAATTAAACTTATTAAACAAACAAAACACATAAAATTATCTTCATTAATACATAAATTTGATAATTTTGATAGTAATTTTTCACTATTTTTACACTCAATCTCAATTGGAAAGCAGTTGGCACCCCCCACTTTACTTTAATTATCAACACTTCTGAATGGGTTGTTGCGCTTTTATTCATGTCACTAACGCTTGGGTGTGATAATGTCACGCAATTACATCACACCCCCGTGTGCGTGAAGGTGTGTAGCACAATTGTCGACTTAATTTTAACTAAAATATTATTAAAAAAAATACCTATATTTACACAGGTAAGTGTGTGACATTTTAACCTTTGTAAAAAGGTAATTTTCATATATAATTTCTTGGCAGTTAATTTATGTATTTATATTTACACGTAAAAAGGAAACAGGAGAAGCTTTTAATCGAAACAATTAAATATTCTATATTTATCCATGTGTTATGTTTAAAAAGTGGGTCAAATAAGATGTGAGATGAGTGCTTTTGAAGTATTATATGGAGCCGGTTTACTTAATGATTCATCCAAATTAATTTAGGGTCTTAGAAGGTTATCTTTTAATAAAACTTTATATTTTTATGCCATATAAAGTGAAGTCTTTACAGTAGAGACTTTACTATAGGCAGTAGTTCTCAATCAGTGGTACATATACCTCAAGAAGGATCGATTAATGCTGCAAGTCTATACATAGAAGGCTAAGGTGGTTGAGAACCACTGCTTTATAGACTCTATAAAGTAAGAAGTACGTATAATAAAGGCATTCTTGATAAATTTTATGTATAAACTGTGAAAATTCTTACTTTATATCATGGTTAATACATCGCTTCTAAACCTAGAATGGTCAAAAAAATTCTTTCAATTGTGAGGTGAATATACAAGAACTAAATTCCTATTAAAAATCTACATAATTTTTCTTAACATTATGTCAATTTAATAAAATCATTTAATCTTATTTAAAGAAGTGATCCGCACTGTAAACATCCCCCATTGAAAACGTAGAGTTTTAATGAAGTTCTCTCTCTACCCCCTCTTTACAAAGGTCCAGGAAACACAAAGTATAGGAGCAAACGTGGAAACACGCGTAATTTCCGTTGCATATAAAACTGGATAGTGAAGCACCCCCTAATCCTCTTCTCTTCTCCCATATCGTGGGAAATTAATTACACGCTCCGTGTTACTTTATAACCATGGCATGTACTCATCCAGTTCAAGTTGTGGTTGGTTGGTGCCACGACTTTTATCATTTTCTAGATGCCGACAATTTGTAGCAACAGATAAAAGTGTGGCAGCAACCATCAATAATTCGACTTTTCCGTTTATGTAGCTTTAAGCTTTCATTGGGCGGAGTTGCCTTTCTTTTTTCTATAACGCTTGACGTAACGTCTTTAAACTCCTATCTTATCTCGTTCGGTTCGTTATACAAACTTTCTTACCTAACTTCTCCGCCCAATTTTATCTTTAATACTACGAAAAAAACCTACGAATTTTAACGTAACTTTATGATTTAACTTTGTTTTTTTCTTTACGTTTATTAAAGCTTCCCCTCCTATTGATTCATTAAGAAGAGGAGGAGAATTCTGTCATGACATAAAGCATTATATTTTAATTCTAAGTATTTATACGTGTATATAAATACTAAGAATTAATTTTACTGTCGTCAAATTTACTATACAGGAAGACATTGCTACTGTGTACAACGTCTTTGATTAATTATTCTTGATACAAGTTAAGCTTCTGTTACTAAATTTCCTTCATACAATGGGGGTTTTTTTATGTGTACAATGTACTTATATACAGAAATATGTTAATTAATTACTAGATATGAGTTAAATGTTAAATTTTAACGCATTTTTATCATCTATTACGCCCATTTTTCCATACATTTTACTCATTTCCTCACCGGATCCGCACGTTACGCATCACGGATTTTTAGCTTTTTTTTTCAAATTATTTTAAAATTTAGGTATTAAAATTAGTAAACCCATAGTTTACACCATCCTTTAAGAATTAACAGCCAGAAATTGAGATATTAAAGAGCGGAAGAGAGGGAAAAAAAATGCGGGGAGGGGGGAGTTAAAAGTTTCGAATTACCCGGCGCCATTCATCATTTATCCTTCTAATTACAAACAACACCTGATCTAAAGCTCGTCTAAGCGTCGAGCGGGGTAATTCTCTAAAGGAAAACCAAGCAACAAGTCACGTGATACGGCCCGGTGGTTCTTTCCCAGTGATTGTATGTAAATCATGCAACAGCTTGACAGTAACAGGAAGTAGGGAGAGAAGAGTAACGAATCGGGAGAAGCTGTTACGAAATTTGCCACAATGACTCGAATTTGTTACGGTTAGCAAGTTATAACCAATAATGAGTTTAAGAGCAGTTTTCTTGTAGATTCAGGACATTGCAATGGGCTAAAAATGGCGGTATCATACACCGGAGTGCCCATTGTTATTGTTTTATCGAATTTAACAAATAATGAGTTTAAGAGAAGTTTTCTTGTATGCATAACCATTGTAATGGCTGCTAAATGACACACCGGAGTGCCAATTTTTATTGTTTATCAATTAAATTAGATACCGAGCCCCATTCGAAGGGGTTAATTACTTTATTTACCCCCTTAAACAGTTAAAAAAAAAGGGTGTAATCTCGTATAGGAGAGAGAGAGGATAGTTTAAAAAATAACGATTGTTACTTACAATCTCTTAGCTTCGGGAGGGAGATTCCTTGGCACAAATTGCAACCCTCTGTTGCTGCATTCCAAAATCAATCCAACACACTCACACTCAGCGGGACAGTGCGACAGACGTGACGCTCGACCTTTCGATAGGCAAAGGAAAAGTGCCACAGCTGCAACCACGTGCAACAGCGTCAATGGGTAGAAGAGGCGACGCACCATAATCAAAAGTCCACAAGGGAACAGGTCGACATAGAAAGCCGTCAGGAGGACTAAAACACGACTTACAACCGAGTGCACCCGGTTCGTCCTCCGTTCAACCTTCGGCACAGTTGTGACCTCCTCTTCTCCAGCCAGCTGGACCCTACTGATGAATCGTACTTACGATGGGTGGAATTCGGGGAGGGAGGAGGGAATGGTCAAGCTGTTTAACAAGTACGACGATCACGTGCAGCCTGCGATCTCTCTCATCCCTCACTGGTAACAAGCGACTCGCTCCCCACGTATACACTATGACTCTGTATTGCTCGTGAACGGTTCCGAGCCGGGTAGGCACTCCATCTGGTTGGTGCTACTTTTCGCAGAGGGAGAGAAGCTCTCAGCTGCTTCCACTTACGAACGGGTGGTCCACTATTAACTGCTAACTACGCTACTCTCTTTCCTTACTTTTACGTCTTATAAATAAGACCAGAATGCGTGCAATTCGTTAAATCGGGTGAGACGAACTTTAAATTGAAAAAAATACGTAAAATCGAGGTAAAGTTTTTACAATAATCGTCATAAAACCACGTAGATTTGGACGTAAACAAACCACGACTCTCGTCTTGTTTTAATAGCTTTACAGAAGAGTTAAACTGTGTTAACTCGATATAGCGAATTCTCGATATAACGAACTGTTTTTTTAATCCTTTTTATTCTTTATATTTAAAGTAAAGTGTTGATTTTTAGCACGGTCTTTCGAGAGTTCACTATATCGAGAGACCATTGTTAGTGATTTGATATAGTAAGCACCCCTTACAGTGAACGATTTTGCTTCTGGCTCTTAGTTTCTTATATAAATTGTTACAGTAAACGATTTAGCTTGAGTTTTCTTAAAAATTCACTATATCGAGAGGCTCTTTTTATAGTAAACACCCGATATAGCGAGCAATTCTGCTGATTGTTTTTAATGTATATATTTAAATCTTAATATAGTGAATGATTTAGCTCAGTTTTTTCTTGAGGATTCGTTATATCGAGAGTGTTCTCTATATGTATATAGGCTATATATAGCCTATATATATATTATAATATTTATAAATCAAAACTTTTCTTGAAATCTTTAAATAAATTCGAATTTTCTCGTTAGAAAATGCACTTTTAAATCTTTTACTCCGAGTTAAAACAGCAATTTATTTATTTATTTTAATTCTTACATTAGAAAATATTTTATAATACATAAGTAAAAGGATAGAATTTATAAAATTTTAAGTATTTTCATTCAAAATTCTCTAAGTAATTTATTCTTAACTCTCCTAAACCAGTCCATTTTAAATGTTTTAAAATGTTTACAACTTGGCGCATGTTTGCTTTTGTATTTTAAGCTAAATTTTATAAATTTTTTATTAAAAAAACTTTAAAATTATAATTAAAATTTAGATTTTAATAAAGTTTTATTAATTTTAATTCAATTATAATTAATAAAATCCCTTAGAAAGCTCGATAAATGAGGAGATCTTTGATGGGGGGTATTCTATGTAATTCCACGTTTTCTTCGTATTTTAAGCTAAATTTTATAATATTTTATTGAAAAAACATTCAAATTAAAACGTATATTTATATTTTATTTAACTTTAAATAATTTTAAATCAATTATAATTAATAAAATCCCTCAGAAAGCTTAATAAACGAGAGGATCTTTGATAAGGGTGTTTTACACGATTCCGTTCAGTTTGAAGGGTTAAATTGCAATTAAAATAAATTTAAATTGGTAAAATTGTTAATTTTAACACTAAAAATTCATTAAAATTGTATTTTATTCTCATATTTATCAATTTATCAGCCTAGAAATTATATAAAACTCTATGCAAAGTTAATGAAGTATGAAGGAGAATGGCGAATCTAAAACTGGTTCCTGATGCTCTTCTTAAACTAGAACATTAGAAACTGGTTAACCGGGTGCAATTTTAATGAATATTAAAGTGGGTCACGCGATATTACGTTCATAGTATCGCTTTGTTTTCGATTTAATACCTTCTCTATCTCCAGCGCGTACGTTCGCGCCGCGTCGCGTACTCATTAAACGATTCTTTAAAATCATCTTTTTAATATTGTTAAAACTTCGAAATAATAAATAATATTAAGCGTATTTAATGTAAATTAACGTATTCTTTATAAGATTATAAATTATTAAATAATGTAGATACATCGTACTCGATTATAACGCGTAGCGACGCAATGACCGCACGCGACGCCGCGCGTCACTTTATAATTATCTAAATTTACTACAATGATACTATTATATGTAAATCATAAGTTAAAGCGTTAGTCTGTCTGTCTATCCGCAACTTTTTAATTTATTAATTTTTAAGATTTAATTTATTTTAGATGAAGAATAAGGGGAAGAAAGTGTATAATTTCGATTAAGAGAAGGGAATATTTTCTATTTTAATGATTAATTAATAAACTTAGAGAGATAATTTATTAATTATCTGATAAGAATCGAATGTTAAATGCTTAATTAAATCGTTATATTAAGGTTCTTCCTCTTAAATTTTCTATAAATTCGCACGCGAAGTTATTCAAATTGACTGTGACTGCACGCCATTTTGGATGAGGAAAATGTCGGAAACGATGTAGAAATATTAATTAAATTACTTAAAAATATTGTTAAACCTCGATATAACGCCAACATTCGCTGGCCTGCTAAATCGAGTGTGGCGCTAAACCGAAATAACTCAAGTAATAGGAATTATATAGAACCTATAAATGAGTTTCAGTCTGGGGTGGTTAGAGTCACGTGAATCGATGATAAAATATCCGTTTACAACGAAAATTACCGGGTGACGTTATATTAAGGTTCTTCTGTATGTTTTAATTAAAGAAAGTTTAGTTTATACTGAATTAAAAAGTAAGAAGATGGTGAAGAGAACAAGGATGTAAAAGAAGATGAGGAGGAGAAAGGAAGTGGAAGAAGATGAAAAAGATAAGGATATAGAATAAGTAGAAAGGGAAAACAAAGAGGATAACAATGTAGAAGAGGATAAGGATGTAGAAGAGGAAGATAAGAAATGTAGAAGAGGATAAGGATTAAAAAGGTGAAGATAAGAAATGTAAAAGAGGATAAGGATGTAGAAGAGGAAGATAAGAAATGTAGAAGAGAATAAGGATGTAGAAGAGGAAGATAAGAAATGTAGAAGAGAATAAGGATGTAGAAGATGAAGATAAGAAATGTAGAAGAGAATAAGGATGTAGAAGATGAAGATAAGAAATGTAGACGAGGATGAGGATGTAGAAGATGAAGATAAGAAATGTAGAACGAGATGATGATGAAGAAAATAAGGATGCAGAACAAGAAGAAGATGAAGAATAGGATAAAGATGTAGAAGAAGTAAAAGAAGAAGACGTTGAAGAAGTATCGTAAACAATGGAAGAAAAATGAGATACACTGTAAAAAAAAAAGAAAAAATAATAATAATCACAAGTACACGTTATGAATAATAGAAGAAAGATGGGTGAAGTACATTGTAAATAACAGAAGAGAAAGAGTAGAAGCATACTTTAGAAAAGAAGGGGGGGAAAATCCTTAAAAAAAGAAGAGTAAACGTTTGAATTTACAAAGAATAAAAATTAGAGGAAATACACAAATGTTGAAGCAATTATTTCTACTCCAGCGAACATATTGCAGAAGAGAATGTGTAACCAAACGGAAAATGTAACTTTCATCAAAAATTTCCAGTTTAAAATTATCCTCGGGGTAAAAGATTTTTAGTAGACAAAGTTAATCTAGTAACGAATACAAATAGTCGATTGTAGACGTATCGAGGGAAGAGGATAGAGAGAGACAATGGCAAAAATAAAATCCTTCCACACGTAAACTCCCCCATTACTCGATACATTTTCCACTCTTTGCTTTACACAATATTGTCGTCCATCCTATCAAAATAGCTATTGTTCGTATCGATGCTAACTACGAACACTGTAAACAATTGAGTGAGTGTCGTCTACAATAGATTTAATTCGGCATCAACTATTTTTCTTTATCCCATTCGTTCGTTCCTCTTTCTATTGTCTGTTTCTAATTATCTTTTCTAGAAAATTTAAATTTCTAAGTTTTCCAAAATAGGGTTTTACTTTCCGTTTTCTATTAAAGTAAATCTTGAAATTTTCATCGATTACGTTCAGTTAGAATGGGATGTAAACGTTTACAATTAAATGTACTTAATGTTTTCTATACTTTATTTTCGTTTTTTTAGCAGCTCGATGCTGTTCTTTCTGTGTAAGAGTCTTTATTTTTTTGCATTAAAAATGATTAAAAGATAATATTAAAAGAGTAAAACGGATAGACACGCTTACACACCTACGAAAAATCAACCCCGAAACTTACATCCCAGCATAAAACTGTAGTTTTAGTGACTTTTAAAGCACGATTTTACGAATACAAACGATAAAAATTACAGTAAAGATTAAAGAAAATAATATTTTAAGTTAATAAAACGGAAGGAATTTATTAAAATTACCCTATTTGCGGGTAACAACATCAAATTTAATTCCATCAGTAAACATTCAACACGCATAAAATCCTCTAGAAGCGAGAGTTTACACGAGTTGGAAAAATTAAAAACAGTGATAAATTAAAGGAGATTCGGGGGGTTGCATTAAACACGTATTGTAAGAGAGATAAATCACCGCAGCATCGGTAGAAAAATTAGGGAAAAATATCCCTAACGTGGAGGTAATTATCCCCAATTAAAATACGTGCCGTAACTCAAGTCAGACTGCTGATGGGGGTGCTTTACACGCACGTTAGTTCTCTGCATATATATATATATATAGTTTTTTTTTCCTCCTGTGTGATGATATCCAGTGACAATACTGTTATCCACGTAGTAGATGGGTGTGTGATGTGGTAGTGTTTATACGTGCCTGGCATGAAAACAATTGGGGCGCTTCTTTCTGAAGTGGGACTCGGAGCGATTTGCAACAGAAAGTACTTACTTCTTCCTCTAAGGCACGAGATGACAGGCAGAGTAGAAAAGAACCCCCAACTTAAAGATATTAGATTTGCTTACTTTATACAGAAAAAGGCTATTTTACATGCGGTATTCGCATCTACACACTTTGAAAAAAATAAAAATAAAAATAGGGAGTTGGTTCTACCTCCTCCCCCCCTTCTGAATGTTGAAATATATCAGTAAGTGTTCAGCATTTTAAGGTACCTGATGCGAATTATTCAGACGTTCTTCGTCTATTGAATAATGAAGACTGTTTCCTACTGGACGTTATATATATCTCTCCAAAGAGGATT